TTCCTCACCATCGACCCAGGCTGGAGTCAGTGCAGTGAATCTCGCGCTCCCACTAGCTAATTTTTTGTATTTTTAGTAGAGACGGAGTTTCACTGTGTTAGCCAGGATGGTCTCGATCTCCTGACCTCGTGATCCGCCCGCCTCTGCCTCCCAAAGTGCTGGGATTATAGGCGTGAGCCACCGTGCCCAGCGTACCCCAGCTATTTTTAATAGAGACGAGGTTTCACCATGTTGTCCAGGCTGGTCTGGAACTCCTGACCTCAAGTGATCCAGCCTCCTCGACCTCCCAACATGCTGGGATTACAGGCATGAGTCTGGCCTATCAGACAGTTTTCATATGACAAAAGGGTACTTGCTGTATTATTCCATTATATAAAGTTCAAAAACAGGCAGAACTAATCTATGGTGGGAGGTCAGGACAGTGATTCCCTTGGAAGGGTTAATTTTGGAAAGGGTAGGGAGAGTAGCTTCTGGAATGCTATGGTTCTCTTAGCTGTATGTTCATTTTGGGTAATTCATCAAGCTGTACACTTATGAACTGTGCTTTTTTTCCTGTATTAAAAGTTTACTTTTTTAAAAAGAGTGGGGCTGGGCATGGTGGCTAATGGCTGTAATCCCAGAACTTTGGGAGGCTGAGGCAGGTGGATCACCTGAGGTCAGGAGTTCGAGACCAGCCTGGCTAACATGGTGAAACCCCCTCTCTACTAAAAATACAAAAATTAGCTAAGTGTGGTGGCAGACGCCTATATTCCCAGCTACTCGGGAAGCTGAGGCGGGAGAATCCTTGAGCCTGGGAGGCGGAGGTTGCAGTGAGCCAAGACTGTGCCACTGTACTCCAGCCCGGGCGACAGAGTGAGACTTTGTCTCAAAAAAAAAAAAAAAAAAAGGCGGGCTAGCCCTTATAAATTCAAGGGCCAGCTTAAAGAACGTCCAGTGCCATGGCTTTTAGTTCTTTTTTTTTTTTTCTTTTTTTTTTTTTTTGAGACAGAGTCTCGCTTAGTCCCCAGGCGGAAGTTGCAATGGCCGCGATCTACGGCTCACGCAGCTCGACTTTTAGTTCCTTATTATGGGTTCATTTAAGAAATGCTAGAAGACTAATGCTAATTTGAAGGTGAGGGCACCTAATCTTATGTGAAAAGCAACAGACATTAGTGACTCCAATGGAGTAATTCGCAATCGCTCTAACTGTGGAGGAAGCTTTTAGGAAACCAATGAATCTTGCCTTATATCGTAATGAAGAGCCAACACATGATTTAAAAAAAAAAAAAAAAACTGTTTCAATCAATTCATAGAATTCCAACGGGATAAGAACAGAATATTGGAAATCATGCATGACGGTATTCAGAACTTTGGAACGAGACATAGCATGATCTAGAAAAGGCACGAGTGGGCCGGGCACAGCTGTGCTCATGCCTATAATCCCAGCACTTTGGAGGAGCCGAGAGCCAGGCGGATCACGATCATGGGGGTCAGGAGATCAAGACATGGTAAAACTCGTTCTTTACTAAAAATACAGAAAAAAAAAAAACAAAAAAAAAAAAAAAAAACCTTTAGTGGGTGTCGGTGGTGGGGCACCCGTAGTCCCAGCTTACTCAGCCCGAAGACTGAGGGCAGGAGAATGGCGTGAACCTGGGAGGCGGAGCTTGCAGTGAGCCAAGATCGTGCCACAGCACTCCAGCCTGGGCAACAGAGTGAGACTCCGACTCAAAAAAAAGAAAAGAAAAGGCCAAGTGAGGCCAGGGGCAGTGGCTCATGCCTGTAATCCCAGCACTTTGGGAGGCTGAGGCGGGTGAATCACCTGAGGTCCAGAGTTCGAGACCAGCCTGGCCAACATGGTGAAACCCCCATCTATACTAAAAATACAAAAATTAGCCAGGCATGGTGGTGGGCACCTGTAATCCCAGTTACTTGGGAGGCTGAGGCAGGAGAATCGCTTGAGCCTGGAAGGCAGAGTTTGCAGTGATCCGAGATTGCACCACTGCACTCCAGCCTGGGCGACAGAGTGAGATTCCATCTCAAAAAAAAAAAAAAAGAAAAGAAAAGGCAAAGTGAGAACAGAAGACAGAGCCCTGGCTGGGCGCAGTGGCTCACGCCTGTAATCCCAGCATTTTGGGAGGCCGAGGTGGGTGGATCACGAGGTCAAGAGATAGAGACCATCCTGACCAACATGGTGAAACCCCGTCTCTACTAAAAATACAAAAATTAGGGCCGGGCGCGGTGGCTCAAGCCTGTAATCCCAGCAGTTTGGGAGGCCGAGACGGGCAGATCACGAGGTCAGGAGATCGAGACCATCCTGGCTAACACGGTGAAACCCCGTCTCTACTAAAAAATACAAAAAACTAGCCGGGCGAGGTGGCGGGCGCCTGAGGCAGGAGAATGGCGTAAACACGGGAGGCGGAGCTTGCAGTGAGCTGAGATCCGGCCACTGCAGTCCAGCCTGGGTGACAGAGCGAGACTCCGTCTCAAAAAATAAATAAATAAATAAAATAAAAATACAAAAATTAGCCAGGCATGGTGACACGTGCCTGTAGTCCCAGCTACTTAGGAGGTTGAGGCCGGAGAATTGCTTAAACCTGGGAGTTGGAGGTTGCAGTGAGCCAAGATCGCACCACTGCACTCCAACCTGGCGATAGAGCCAGACTCCATCTCAAAAAAAAAAAAAAAAAAAGACAGTCCTGTGGAATCAGTCATTTAAAGATTGGGGAGAGAGAAAACCAGAGGGCTGAGGTATTGCTGAAGGCTTCAAGAGGAAGGCTCAGCAGCAGAGATGACATGGTGAGACTGGTGCCAGGATGGAGGTCACATCAGTGGACAAAGGTGTCAGCAAGTGAGTGGCAATGCCCCATGCTAGAAGCCCAGGTGACTGCCATCGGATGGGAGAGGCATGTTCAAGAACGCTGGGCTCCTAGCTCCTCTACTCCCCGTCTCTCAAGCCCAAGATTTCCACCTTGCTTGTTTCCGTCCTGTCAGAATTAGAAACAAGTGATATAGTAGCTCTTAATTGGGGGATGGGGCATGGCTCCCTTTGAGAATCCTATAAAAACTATAAGCCCGCCCATTAAAAAGTGCACATTAGCCCACGCCTGTCCTGTTGTGCGCGCAGTTCCCCTTGCTAGGACTCAAACTCAGACTTCCTCCCATTATTGCCTCTAATCCTGCATTCATTCCCTCCCTTTCGCCCACAGAACCTTTTTTTTTCTTTTTTTTCGAGACAGGAGGCTTGCTCCGTTGCCCAGGCTGGAGGGCACTGGTGCAGTCTCGGCTCACTGCAACCTCCACCTCTCAGGTTCATGCGATTCTCCTGCCTCAGCCTCCCAAATAGCTGAGATTAGGTGCCTGCCACCATGCCAGGCTAATTTTTGTATTTTTAGTAGAGACAGGTTTTCACCATGTTGGCCAGGCTGGTCTCAAACTTCTGACCTCAGGTGATGCGCCCGCCTCAGCCTCCGAAAGTGCTGGGACTATAGGCATGAAGCACTGCGCCAGGCCCTTTTAAAATTTTTTTAGAGACAGTGACTTGCCCTGTTGCACAGGCTGGAGGATACAGTGGTGCAGTCTTGGCTCACTGCAGCCTCGATCTCCCAGGTTAAGGAATCCTCTCACCTAGGCCTCCAAAGTAGCTGGTACTACAAGTGTGTGTCACCACGCATGGCTAACTTAAATTTTTTTTTGTAGAGATGGTGTCAATATGTTGCCCTGACTGGTCTCAAACTCCTGGGCTCAGCCAGTCCTCCTTCCTTGACCTCCTGAAATGCTGGGATTGCAGGCATGAGCCACTGTGCCTGGCCAATGGTCTTTGAGGATGAAGAATTTTAGCCAGAACCTGAAGGATATATCTGGCTCTATTTAGATTTGAAAATACATAATGTCTCAAGAAAAGCAAAACAAAACGCCTCACTGAAGGAAACAGGGTTAGTGTGGTGATATATGGGTGATTTTTTTTTTCCTTTTCTCCTAAAGACTTTCATTCATAGGATTGTCCTTGATTCTCGCCCATCAGCAAACACTGGTAGGCTCCACCTTCAAGTCTTATCCAGAATCAGACCACCTCACCTCATCTACTGCAGCCTCCCTGGGCAGGGCCTGGCCTCCTTCAGTCTGTTCTCACCACACAGCCACCAAAGGGATCCTTTTATTTTGATTGATTGATTGATTGATTGATTGATTGATATGGGGTCTGACTCTGTCAGCAGGCTGGAGTGCAATGGCACGATCTCACCTCACTGCAATCTCTGCCTTCTGGACTCAAGCAGTCCTCCCACCGCTGTCTCCCGAGTAGCTGGGACCACAGGTGCACGCCACCACACCCAGTTAATCTTTTTGTATTTTTGGTAGAGATGGGGTTTCACCATTTTGCCCAGGATGGTCTCAAACTCTTAAACTCAAGCAGTCTACCCAGCTCAGCTTCTCATAGTGCTGGGATTAAAGGTATGGGTCACCACGCCCAGCGCCTTTTAAAAGAACGGTTGATGGCCGGGCGCGGTGGCTCAAGCCTGTAATCCCAGCACTTTGGGAGGCCGAGACGGGCGGATCACGAGGTCAGGAGATCAAGA